TTATTATTCTAATAGATACCTATATAATACTATGTTTAATTTTTAACTGTCAAACAAATGTGTGCGGTTTTGAACAATCGACCTTTCAAATTTCCCTTTTTAACAATAAAATAAATGTGTGCGGTATTCAACGGTGTAAAATGTGGAGTTATGACGACCGCCGGGCCCTGCATACAAGCTGATAATCATGGCTAAATAACTTTGCTAGGTTATTTAGCCATGCTGATAATAGTATCCCGACTTGACGTAAGGAGGAACCCGCCTAACCATCAGTACGATTGGCGTCAATAGGTCAATAGCGCTCCCAGTGTTAATTTGTTTTATTGATAGCGAATGAAATATTTTCGGCAAACTTTGAATCAACCTACATCCAGGTTGTAGAACTTCCAATTACATCATATTATTATACATTTATACATTTCCCACTACACATTGGTCATTGTATAAAATATCCAGTTTTTACTTTTTTCTCAATAGTTAAGTATGTAGTTAAAGTTAATAGGTACATGTATTATTAAAATATTTTACTGACTCTGCACCGCCCACAACGAATCATTTTCCAAGTGTCTGGCGTACAATTGCGTCTGTTGGCGACATGCCGTGCTGCCCACGTCACTAGGCCCGCTGAAGTCGACCAGCGCCTCGTAGAAGATTTTCGCAATCCATGTCTTCGGCAAGCCGCTATCCGCCGAACTGTCTACATCGACGGTCATGACCTCAGAGACATGCAGGAAGAAAACAACACCCGTACAAACTAACAGTGATGTACAAGACATCATTGTTATTAATATAATATTATTATTATTACTAATATAATTAGTATAGTACTATTTGTACTATATAAATAATTGTATTTCACTCTTGCGTTCGGACCATTGCAAACACCGGTTCGTGAACTAATGAAGTGGATTTATGGAACTGCGGCGATCGTACATCAAGACGAACATCCGTCATGAGCGATCGGTATTATAGATATACCTTATAGAGGCCTTGGCCTCTGAAATTTTTCTTGAATAGAGAGGTGGGTGGTAGCCAGTTGGTCCCCTAGTAAATTTAATATGATATTCTCAATAGGCAGTCAATAACGATCTGAAATAAAACTTGTTATATTACATTAATACATTATTATGCATAAATACTTGTAACTGACCTCTGGAAAATATTTAGTTTGTCACGTACTAACTTAACCGTACCTGTTTTATTGTGAAACACAGACAAAACGTGTTTGCACAGAATTATATTTTTTATGTTTTTGAGTATTCTTTGAGTGAGATCACAGATTATAAAAATGATTAACCATGATATTTTTGGCCAAATTGAGTCAAAAAAAGCTACCTCCTTTAATAAATAATAATATACATTTAGTAAAACCTAAGACTTATATCCTATTATATATATTTACTATAATCATAGTTAAGTCATAATATATGAAAAGTTTAGTTTGATAATAAATTATGTAATATTGTAAAATAAAACTTCTACGACCACAATAATTTAAAAATATATTCCTAATTAGCAAAAGTTAGAGACATTATGTAAGTAGGTACTTATAGCTTAAGATTTTTATTCTTCTTTTTCCCGTAACTACTGATCAGTGGATCTAACGAGTAACTATAACAACGACATCCACTGGAATTATAGCAAGTGTAACCAATAGCTTGGGTAGGTAAGTTAATAATAATTTTTAATTTAATTTATAGTGTCGGCGCCGGTCATTTATTAAGGAGTAGAATTTACGGAATTAAATTCACATGTTGTATCGGCCTATAGAGCGGAACGTGCATGTGTGTGAGAATGTAAATCGATATTAGTGTGAGTGAGGTATAATTACATGCGCTGATAAAGATATATATATATATATACGCACGCGCATGCAGTGGCGTATATAGGGGGGATGCCCCCTAGGCCAGAGCCCATAGTGAAATTGAAGGTACAATTAAACCATTTTATGTATATATATTATATACACTGTTTACAGTTTTTCACTATGATTAATTTAGCCGGTTGATTAAAATCGTTTTGAGGAATCAACAAGGAAATGTTAGATTGTCAGGACTTGCTTTGATGACTTTTATCTGTTAAATTCACAATAAGATAACATTAAAATATATATGTATATACGAAATTATCTATATTTTTAAAAAAGAATTAAAAATGAATTTCACATAATAATTATAAAATTTAATTTGCTCAATTTGTATTAGTACTTATAACCACCCTGCTCCTTAAAAAATGTATAGTTATGGCTATGTTAGTCCGTTTGACGCGCTATGCTGACTAGTGATAAATTGGCCCATAGTGAAAATAATTTGTATATACGCCACTGCGCGCATGTACAAGTCAGTGTTAGATTTCGATGACTATTATCGAAGCACTATTTTGATGAACAAAATGGTTTAACAGGAAAAACTCTCATGCCTCGTAGATATGTCGGATTTTGGACAATTTTTTTTTATCTGAAAGATGAGAAGTTTCTGCAGGTCGGATCAAAGCTCGAATTTTTATTTAACTTTAAATATTAGTAGAAAATTACGTTTGAAAAAGGTCCAAATATTGTGCATTTTTCAAATGCACATTCCAGCTTCTATGATTATAATTTTCAAAATCGGGCTTTCATCTGACCTTCAATATGCTCTCTACTTTAAGATAAAAAAAAAAATTAACGAAATCCGATAATTCTACAGGACGTGACAGTTTTTCCTGTAAGACATGGTTTTGTAAAAAAAAACGCACCGGCCCCGACCGCTTTAAGGGGATTCCATACCGACCGTTTTTAAGGAGTTGAGTACAGGCAATTTTTAGACAATTTGTATAGTACGTGCGTGCGTGGCGTGCATGTTCGAGTGTAGTAAATGATCATTAGTGTGAGTGACGTACGGCAAGCTAGATAAGCGTTGCGCACTCGCACTCACATTATGCCTAACAACAAATTTATGACATGGCGAAATGTTGTAAATCATAGACCTAAGCGAGTTCCAACATTCCGACTTGAGTTTTACACCGATAATAATTTTGAAAACAATTTTTTTTTTGTTGTTCAATCAACTTTGGATCCAGTTTGGACAGTTTAGTCGTAAGATAACTCTTTCGGAAACAGCACTGCTCGAGTATAGTAAAGTTAGATTTTAGATTCTGAGTGGAACGATGATTGTATTGATTTTACAATGATGTGTTTTTTTTTATTATTAATTTTTTTTTTTGTGTGTCTGTCATCACGTTTTATGACAGTAAAAGTGATTGGATTTTTTTCAACAGTAGCTTTTCTGATAGGAAAGTGAATCTAGTTGGTACTTGGGGGGTCAAAATTTCCCAGTAGTTTTCAAAACCAGCGTGAAAAACAAAATAAAAATTAAGGAAAAACGGGAATTTTTACACTAAAATCTGTTTTCGAAAAAATCGATTTTGGTTTTTGGTGCAACTCTTAAACAAATGACCGTAGGTACATGAAATTTTGACTGAAGTTTTTATTAGCATTTTCTATACACCATGTCACCATAACATTTTCAAAATGTTTTGATTTATTTTGAACTGTTTAGGCACATTTTCACTTTCCATTCTTTTTTAGTTTTTTTTCTAAAAATATCAATAAAATGTTATTTGTTTGTTAAAAAAGCTTGAAAATGTAATACAATGCTCCTACTATATTGTTACAATGGCATTTGAAAAATATTAAAAATCCTTAGTCACAGTTTTTTTTATAAGCATTTAAAGTTCAAAAATTGACAAAATATGGAAAAATCACGAAAATTAGCAAATTATTTTGAGTTAAGAATTCGTAAAAATTTTTCTTTTAAATCTAAAGTTTTATTGTTGTTGATGTATAACGCGTTATAAGTACCTAATGGATATTGTGATATGATTAATTTGGAATTTATTATAGGTACCTATAATAGGTCAATTTTTTTTAATACCATAGATAAGTATATAATATGCCTTATACCTAGACTGACATACTGTCTCCGCTCAGAATCGTTTTTCTTATACAATGATAATTGATATTATATCATATTGTATTCAAATTTAATACTATCCATTATACAGTGACCCACTTGTAACCTACTGTACAGCAGAGCACCTTTTTATGTTCTCCTTTTGAATTTTTAGAAAATGAAATATTTGTTTCATGGGTAGATTTTAAAGGAATCACTTACTATAGTAATATTAATATGTCTGTTCTAAATAGTTTCAGTGATTATCCAAATATATTATACCAATTTTTGGAATAATACTATCTATATTTGTTCAAACCGACAATATACCATTTATTATTTGTATGATTTATGAAAATAAATATTTTGAAGAACACAATATTTTCCAAGTATATAGATTAGATATAGGTTAAATTGTTGTTAAGTTTTTCTGGTACATCCCACTGTTCATTGTTTCCTATCAAATTGTTTGTCTTATATAGGTACCTTCATAAATACATGTAATTGTAATACAAAAATATTATGTACCTACTACCTACTTAGGTATAATGAGTAAAAAAAACATGTCTTTAAGAATAAATATTTTATTCCTTATTCTTTATGAATCTGGTTTTTCCAAAAATGTAAATTGCTTATATTTACGGGTCCTTGTACTCTCTTTTTCCTACTGACTTGGTTTCCCCTAAAAATATTAATACCTAGTTTAAATTAAACTATCTAATAGAGTTGGAAAAAATATACAATATTTTCTTAGCTATTCTAAAAACAAATGATTAGTAAATTTGACTAAAACTAGGTATAGTAAATTCTATAAAAAGTGTAATTCAATTTAAATACTATAAATATAGTTTTAAGTATAATAAAATTATTAACTTATTTTTATAATTATTGTTTTTATTGTTTAATTCATGAATTAAATTATATTTTCAGGTGATTCCAAAAGTCCTATATAAAGTCTAAAGTGATAGATGTTGACAACATAAGTAGGTACCTATTAATGATAGTCCTCTGCATGGTAAATATAATGTTTACACTATGATTTAATTTAAATATTAAAGTAATTTTAAGCTTTCTAAAGATCATTATTATCAAATAGATCAAATGCTGAGCATGCCACTGTCACCATTTATAATTTCATCTGACTTCAAAACACCCAACACAAAAACTATTTCTATTAAAAAGAAGCTATTTTCATCTATATCAGTGGCGTATTTACGGGGGGGGATCATTGGGTTTGATCCCCCCCAAGGCTTGAGTTGAGTTTTTTTTTTTTTATTTTAAAATCTAAATTAGACGATAGTCCGGGAGCCGTCGAAAGAGTGAGGACTGAGGAGAGCGCGCGAGCAGCTGCTGGCTTATTTTGTAGTATTTCTGGAAATTCTACTGGTAAAGAAAAATTTATCCTTGAAAAAAAATGAGTAGAGAATAATATACAATCTTTATGTGCAACTATTCAGTGGCGTATTTAGGATTTTGTCATGGGGGGGGATATGATTTTATCCAGTACTTATCAACTCGAGGGGGGCTCCGCCCTATATACTAGTAATATATACTATATTACTATATTATATACTTAATTGTAATATAATGGATCATTAGAAATTAAATCTGCCAAGTTTGTTGATGTGCAATGCCTAGCATCAAAGTATGTTCCACCTGAATACATTTGGTTCTATAGATCTTTAGTTGAAGAAACCAGTTCTAATCAAGATAACAATGGTACTATATCCAATGATGAAGATGACTAGGTATTAAAAATTGTTACTCAGTTTTAATATTAATATTAAAGAAAATATATTTTAGAATATTAAGAAATCAAAATGATTATTAGTTTTGTTTTATTAATTTTA